GCCAAATCATATTCTATGTTGCTCAACTGGTGGAACTATTTGATCCCATTATAGACATTTAGTATGGAGAGCAAAAAAAAAAAACTAGGGAGAGCAAAAGAAAAAAGGGAAGGCGATCAATGCAATATATCTTATATATCTTTAAATTATACTATGCATGATTATTATTGGATCTGAATAATCATTTTAAACTCATTATATGAAATTTTTTTAATTAATTAATTCATAACACATATAGGTAAAGAATAACTGAGGTCGAAGTTTTACTCTTTATCATCTAACCTTGTTAACGAAATTTTGGCATAAACCGGCATTTGCGCTGGAGACCTTTAGTGGCATATTCTTAATCAAAATGAGGGGAGCAATATTATAAGGAAAATGAGTTAAATTTAATTTTATCATGTTTAATCTCATTAAATCCATGCACTATTCAAAGCATTTTTCAGTTATCATTTGTTTCGAACAGAAACAAAGCAGTATAAATTGATGGCAATCAAAATTTAATAAAAATGTTTCAATTCAATTGAATGTTATCAACTTTAAATAATCAAAATTTATTATTTCACACACGAAATTATTAGATAACAGTTTTGCATTCACAAAAGAAAGGAAGAGAAATGTGCAATACTGCTAATATTATCAAATGTAATTCATCTTGCTATATCAAGTTTTATGTTAATTCGGTATTTATGGCATTATTTTATGATATTTTAGTAATTTACGCTTGCTTAGATAAGCTATTGAAGACTTTCATGATGAAACTTTCACGCATTTCGGGTAAAATTTTGATTAATTTAAAAAAGTTTCAAAAAATTCATCGCACGAATGATAAGCAAATACTGAAGTATATTTATATTATAATTTAATCTGAATTTGTTGCAAAGTTTTAAAATGAAGAAAAGCATGGATATTTGGCGAGAAAAAATCATGTATCTATATTTTTTTGATCGGTGAATATTGTAATGTTGAATTTCTTTCGATTTGTACCAAACTGCTTCGAAATCGATTTACCCTTCTATTTCCCTTAATTATCGTCAATCTTCATTTGACTGTTGTAAATTCATCCTGGTTACTGTAAATTCTTTTTGATTATCGTCAGTTCAGATTAAAAATGAAATAACTAAAAATTAGGTTCGAAAATTAGAAATTTTGATTTGAACATAAAAAACTTAAAAATTAAGTTTTAAAATTAATATTTAAATGTCAATTCTATAAAGATCCCATTTTCTCACGACTTTAACAAAAACAATAACAATCGGTTCCATATTACTGTTACTGCAAGCATTAACATTAATTATAAATTCACATCGATTACTGGGGCTTTCCATTAATTACTGAATTAATTTCGATTATTACAAATTCATTTTGATTACTATCATTTTTTTTTTGTTTAATGCGATTTCACTTTTAATACTGTGAAACCACTTTGGTTACTTCTGGAAGTAACAGAATATCAAAATCAGCAGGCAAATTTGTTGCAGAACATCAGACAAGACATTCCTACAAGTATAGTTTCTTTAGCAGCTCCACTTTTACATTTTCTTAATATTTCATTCTTTACTTCTTCCAACGTTATCCACCGCTTCATCTCAATCATCTGTAATACTACTGCCCTTCGTTAAACGATATTCAAATTGATGTAAAGTTTGACATCCATTTTTAAAATTGAAAATAGTTGGAATGATTTTTTAAGAAGTTCTCACAATACTTGAAATTATTATAAAAATTAATTACAGTTAATTAAAGCTTGTAGCACAAAAATTTTCACGATTTAAAAAAAAGAAAACAAATATATGATATGATGATTTTTTACAATTCTGAAACATTTAATCTATTATTAATGAAATTAATTCGAAATAATTTAATTCATATAAGTGGGTGAATAAAAAAATTGCTGATAAGTATAAATGATTTGAAAAAAATAATAATAATAATTATATATCATTGAATGGCTTATATTACTAGTATATTAATTATGAAAACATATAGGTAATAGGATTAAAACGAATAGGTAATAGGATTAAATTTTCGTATTTCATTTAACCGAATTTTATGAAATCAAAAATTTTGCACATTTATAAATCGAAATATCGAATTCAAAAAAAAACTACTAAATGAAATTTAAATATTATATAAAAATATGCAAGTTTCATTTTTAATCGTTCATTTTCCAATTTTAATTTATATACTGAATTGATGTACATGCAATTCAGTGCATTCAATTTGATGGTAAAAAGTTTGTGTGAAAATTAACAATTAATAATGTTAGGGCGGTTATGGCGCTGGTGGTGGGAATCTTTAGCAAAGAATACAATAACAAAACATTATGCGCAAGTTCATATTATTCTTCATCTTCGATATAATAAATTCAGTCGTGAAAGTTTTAATTAATTGAAAATAATTAGAATTGAAATATTATTCTTTTTTTTGATAAATTGTAAAATTATTCGTTTTGTTTTTTTTTTTATGTATATAAATTACATTTAAAGGTTTTCAAAGAACGTTCATCACGTCGTGCATTTGTACTTGATCCGGTTAAAATGGCTGTATCACCAGATGGAACTTATGTTTTTATAGTTGGTAGTCGAAAAGTTAGTTTATACAGAAAAGTAGGCGAAAAAAAAGGAAGAAGAAATAGAAAAAGAAGAAAAAACAAACATACAAATTCGAATACCATCAAAAAATGCGTTATTTTTTAATAAAAATGTATTGAAATTTTAATTTTTAAATTTATTGCAACAAATATTGCAAATTGTAAAAAATGAAAATTGATAAATTAAAAAAAAGAATATTTTTAATCAGTTGGAAAACTGATTCGTATTTCTCATAATAATGGACAAAATTTACATTTGTATCACTCATTAAAAAAAATGATTAGTGGAAAAATTGAAAAAGGAAGAATGGAGAAATAAATATTGTCTACTGTTATTATTATTATTATTATTATTATTATTATTATTATTATTATTATTATTATTATTATTATTATTATTATTATTATTATTATTATTATTATTATTATTATTATTATTATTATTATTATTATTATTATTATTATTATTATTATTATTATTATTATTATTATTATTATTATTATTATTATTATTATTATTATTATTATTATTATTATTATTATTTCTATTATCATTACTGTTGATTATTATTTATTATTGTCATTATATTATCAATTATTATTAATCACTATAAATGACAACGATGATGATAACAATGACTGTGATGATGTTGATAATGTCAACGATGACGATGATGATAGTGATGATAATGATGATGGCGTATGCGTAGGAATGGTACAATATCGAAAACCTATTATTCTTGCCAGTAACCTTCGTTGCTACCAGTACCGCCACCTTCGCTGTTACCAGCACTACTACTTTTACTACCATCGAAGAATGTTGATGATTTCAATGCAAAGGCCATCCCACTACATTTTATAATAACCTTTTCATTTCAAGGCGAATCATCGGGTAATTATCGAAATCTTGATAAATAATAAAGTATAATGCAGCTAGAGCAGTACAATACTTGTTCCCAAACGAAAATCTGAATTGAAATTTTTAAAATTTGCTTCGATTGTTGATACAAAAACCACGTTGATATGATGAATTACAGTTTCCGGAATAATTCACTCATTATCGTTTTCTGATTTTGTACACATGACGTTTGAAGTTTTCATACGATGCCTGCAGTATATGGTTTTCCATTAGAGACAATCTTCTCAAATTGTCAAATTACCAAATCTATCTTTCCAAATTATTTACTTGCAAAATTCACTTTCTGAAATTGTCAAATTACTAAATCTGCCTTTTGAGTAAACCGAATCTCTGAATCAACCAATTTTGAAGTGATGCTTAAATTACTTGTTTTTCCAGCACTTTACATCATCTCACAGATGTATCAAAAATTATTAGTGAAATTTCTGAAATAATGAGAAAAGCATGGATAATGCTACGAAAATTTTTAAATTTATTAAATCATGATGAATGACATCAAAATATACAGATAATATTTACTAAAGCATAACATCATGGAAAAATTCGTACGCAATAAATTACACATCATAACACTTTAAATTTATGAGAAAGCAATAAATTGCACATCATAACACTTTAAATTTATGAGAAAGCAATAAATTTTGTACGTTTTGTGATTAGGAGGAAAAATACAAGGAAGAAATGCCGATATATGTATTATACACATATAATTTTTGGCTCAAATTCTAATAATGAATTAATAAAAGAAAAAAGTTTAATAAGACATTGAATCACATAAATCATATACAGGCCTGGGACAAAACTACAGAAAAACATGTCAGACAAACTGATTCTTGCCCGTTGCTTCTCCTCACCAAGCAATAATACAATCCCTGTCCTCCAGTCATCTCATCTGTATTTTTTTTGGCAGCAATTATTGCCTTATATAGCAAGATCAAACATAAAACAGCAACTTTAATCCAAAATTAGTCTAGTAATAGTAAACACAGCTTGGCCAAATTTTTAATTTCAAACCGAATTTCATCTCAGTCAGATTACATTGTCTTGAAAGTCTGAACCATAATGATAACAGGATTATGGCATTGCAATAACAATCCTGATACAGTAAAAATGAATTCTGATGAAGTGGATAATTCACTGCTTCCATCTAATCTTGCGATTTCACTCAAAAGAAGTACAATACCTCCATATATTACCTAAGAAGTCTTTAATTCTGAATAAATCTTGACACATTTAAAATTTCGCTAAAAAGATCCATTGTGAATAAAAATTTCATTGTTTCGTTTAAAGATTACAATTAATTTTTGAGTAGTTGAATGTTAAATTCATCAACTGCGTTTTAAGAGCATGAAATCAAGAAACTGTAGAAAAAAGATATCACTGGAAAAATTTAAAGCACGAACTTCAAAAACTATCATTAATCGTGACACTGATATTATTTCAACATCCAAAATTCATGAACTTTTCAATACACAACGCTCGAATAAGAATCATGACAAACACGCTCTAAATAATAACTTTGAATTCTCGTAACTCACAAATAGACAACCAGTTGCACAGAATGCACGAACCAATGTAATTGTTAGTCCATTGTATAGTGTTCGTATACCTCAATAGAATATTGTCTGTACTATCACAATGAAATGAACAATTTAAAGATCAAGTGCAAAATATCACTATAAGGACTATCTCTTTCAGCATGAAAAACATAAATTATGAAACTGCGATTACCTAAAAATGATTTTAAAAAATATTATGCATATCGAATTTCTAAAGTTTAAATTTCATTAATTCTTAGAAAAATTGCAAAAATCTGATAATCAATGGTATACCTTCGTTTTTGATAATATTGCGAAATATATTAATGAAACCTCCTGAGCCAGCAATTTGCACACGCGATTTAACTACGTCCACGGGATAAACAGCACTCCATAATACTACACCAGCGATTCCTCCGGATAACGCTGTCCGTAAAATACCTGAAAAGAAGTCAGAAGGGGAAGTATCCTAAGGAATGCAAGGAACAAGAAACAAAAAACTGTTGAAATGTCCATTTAGCCACAGATTATAATTTTTTTCTTCTCTTATCCATTACAATAAATGGAAAAAAATATATAACATGAAAACAGACCAATTTCAGATTTCGATTTTCCTTCCGGTGTCAAATAAAACCTGGATAATTCATATGCACCAAAAAAGAAGAAATATCCAATCGCTTCACGGTATAAAGTTGATAACATACCAGTATAAAATGCCCTTAAACCATCCGCTTGATACATATCACGACACACTGAGAAAGGAGTGCTAGAAACATTGTTCAGATCAGTCACAATATAACTCCAATTCTCAAAGCATATGTTAGAAATAATACGAATAGAATTACAGCCAATTCAGATTGTTTTCAAGTCTAAAACTTAAGTTCGAAAGGAAAACTACTTCGAAACTGTTGTTGCTTAAGGTCGAGATTGTTTAAACAGAAATAAAATTGCAAATAAATTTTCAAAATGAAAAGCCATTTTAAAATTGTTATTCCGGAGAATGATTTCAGCACCACTACATAATTGACCATTGCACAACTCAATTATATAAAATAGTTTGGAAACTCCACATATAAAGAATAATTCAATACCAGTACTTGAGGTTGAACATCAGGAATATATTATACGTATTTGAAATTTCATGAATATATAGAAAATTATCTATTATCAAGAAATCGAATGAATACATTACGTTTGCCTTCGTATTCCAGGAAAAGTTTCCCTCTGGGCTTGCAATTTGCATTTGACAAGCTCCGTTGGACAAATAGCCATTGCTGCAAAAATGGACGCCAATGAACCGGATAAAGCATTTTCAACTGGCGTCATATCTTCCAGATTTGATCGCCCAATGCAAAATGCAACCACCTAAGAATTTTATGCTGAGTAAAAAAAACCATAAATTAAATGTTCAAAGTAAAAATTCATCTTACCGACCATTTTAAAATTTTTTGGTAAAGAAAGTTAGTACAAATCGTCGAATATCACGGCAAAATTTTACTTATCCTTTAAACGAAAAATTCAATTTCACTATGAATTCCTTTAGTCTGGACTTTAATATGCTTGTTATCAATACATCTGAACAGATTGCAATTGAATGATAATGTCACCCACTTTACTTCTTAATCTGAATAATATTTCGTTACCATCGTATTAACTTTCAATATAGAAGATGCATGAAGAAGCGATTAATTAACCTTTCTACAATATCCGTAAGCAGTGAAAAGAATAGCATTTTCAGCGATATTTGCTGCTAGAGCGGGCATAATACCTAAAACAACGAGAATACCCAGCAAGTGCCTAAATCAAAAGTGTTTATTCACTCCTCACTACTCATTAACTTAGAATTATTTTAACAAAAGTTGAATAAAGAAGTTAGAAAGTACCTGGAAACCCCTGGAAAATTTCACAAATAATTTTCGAATTTTAATTACGAGATTATACAACTAAGAAAAAATAGTTGCAGTATTATTCTAATCAATTCGCTACTCTCCCTACCTTTTTTAATGAATCTAAAACTAAAACCTGCATATAATCCTCGTATACCGTCTAGTCGTAAAATTGATTCAAAGCATCGCATAGCTTTTGGATAAAAAGTTGGAAATGTCTGCATTTTAACTTTCACAGTATCTAACGGTTGTCCAGTAGCTACGTTTACAATGCCACCTTCAAAAATTATTGCCTATCATAACGGGTAAGGAATTAGAATGAAAAAATCTTCATCAAATGAAATATTAATCATAAGAAAAGCAACAGCAGTTTAGATGTTACCATAACTCACAATTCCTCATAAACAAGTGAACTGAACAAGAAATACTGACCTACTGTACCGGCAGCTAAGTCCGCAATGCCATCTTTGATATGGTCAACGTTCGAGTACAGTACTTCTACTTCAGATCTAGCCATCCAAATCATGAAAGTGATATGAAGGATAAATATAAGCTCTCTACTTCAAAAACTAAGTATGTCTATGTTGTCGTATACTGATATCACGATAGCTAACAATGCTGAATGGAAATATTATCAGGAAAATTCAATTTTTATGATTTTTGATGAAAAGTTTATTCAATACGGAGTAAAGTAATAATACGACAGAACAGAAAGGCTTGGCTTTCCATACAATTTTAATAAGTGCTAATCGAGTCTTCTAATAATTTAAATATATGAGTTAAAAGAAAATATCAATTAATCTATTTCTCGACTGTTCGATTACTTACTGAAATAGTCCAGTGTTACTGAGAAGACATAAAAATCGTTTACACTGAATGAAACTCATAATATTAGCAGCAGAAACTATTCTATCCCTTGTATATTCATTCAATACGATTTACAACATTGAAATTAAAATTTAAATTATCAAAAGTGGATAAAATATATAAAATGAGCACCGTGTTCTGTGTAACATCTCATTATACGATCTTTAAAATGCAAGATGGAATAAATAACTGTAAGTGATTTTACACAAATAATTGGATCACATAACAATGAAAAATTTAACAATAGTCGCCCTTGATTTTTTATTTTTTGAGAATACTGAATATCAGAAGTTTAAGCATTGAGAGTATTTATTATTCTGCTATTAGAGAAGAATTTAGATAGAATAGTGAGGTGAAGAAGCAAAGGTCAAGAAGTGCCAAAATAAGTGAAAGAACAGCCGAGACACTGATCAGCATCCTTATATTACAATATAGGACTACAAAAGCTTTTTTTGACATATTTCGTAGACCATGCGCTCACGAAAATATGGCATATGGTCCTGACTGAAAGAGATCTGAGCACGCCGTGCTGCATATTCTGCAAATTTACATGCAAACATTCCACAGTCACTACCATTCATTTGTTGCGGAATATCCTGAAACTCGATTCATTTTTGATTTATCTCAAACATACTATTTTACAGATACCTTTCATCTCTAAAATTTTTCCAGAATTGAACATAAATTCCTAAAGCTTGAATTTTTTTTTCCTCAATTGCCAAGAAACTAACTTCACGATTCACAAGTTGCCATCCACTAAGATCGAATTCTTTTTTCCTTTTGTCTACAGATTCCTCACAAAGATATTCGCTGAAACAAAAAAGAAAAAGTGTCTCAAGTAAGGATAGATTTAGGTCACATTTGAGCAGATGAATGTAAATTAAAAAGTTTAAAAAAGAGTACTAGGAACAATAAGTTATCCCAAATTCATTAAAATATAAACGAAGAAAGATTACCTCAATATATCCAAGCAGTGATCATTGCTACCACCCATTGAGTCATAATAATCAATTACCCTATTTTTAAAATCAATAACCTGAAAATGCGCAACAATAGTACGTGCTAAATAATGTCCCATATTATAAAACAATTTTTCAGGAAAAGTAAAAAAAATTTGTAAGAGGTACTTACAGTAAGACACCAATGGGCACCCAAATGAACAGGAATCAATAACAGCTCGTAAGCAAATATATCAGTTTTGCGTGTCCAACGTTTAACAGATGCATATCCTTTACTGCTCAGTGTGGAATAAAAGAATGAACTGAACGCATATACCTAAACAAGTATAAATAGTTAATGTGTTGGAAAAAGAATCAAATAATTTAATTCTGATCCAAACAATGTTCAGAAAATGAGAGATGATGAAGTGTCAAGAAATTTCCGATCAGGTTTCCGAAATAATTAAGAAGAATGCAAGTTGCTGAAAAGTTAAACCTATTTTCCTTATCAAGAACCATCCATCAAAATATAAAGGGATTTAAGGAAGATTTTGGAACTGAGAAATTATATCATTTAAACCAATATCTAAGAAGAACTGCGAAATTCCGTAAATAACGAATTTTAAACTTAAGCAAGATTTAATTGATCATTTTTAAATCCATTTTCCAATTACTAATAATTGCAAATACTACAGCACATGTTTTCTAAACACTAAACAATTCTACATAACTGCAGAAATTTTACCTTCGGTAAACTTTCATCATTCTGTGAGCGTTCGCAGATGAGATTCATATAAAAATTGATCACTTCATCGTTGAGCCAATCAAGCCCTTTCAATGTCAGCAAATCTTTCCGCGTTATTTCACCAGATAATTTCTCACTCAGCGACAATTTTCGGTCCCAAGCACGTTCCACTACCAGTAAAGCTTCATCATTAAGTTCTATAACAGCAATTTTTGAGTTTCGGTAATGTATCAGAAATGGGAAATTTTATTTTTTCAAATGACTCGAAATATCAGAGTTCCATTTTTTCAAATTAAAATTTCCAAGCTTTGTTAATATATAATAAAAAAAAAAAACGTGCCCGGAAATTCATCCTTCACCTTTCGCGATCGAAAAATGTATCCGGTGAGAGTCAGTTTTCTCCTCAGCTGATCTTCCAAACTCAATTCCTCATCCCGTCGTGCTTCCTCGCTGCAAAGAAATAATTCACATGTTGTCACATACAGCTGTAAAATAAAATTTATGGAACTGAAAAGCTAACAAAAAGTATCACATTAAGCGCTTCTGAATCTGTAACTCCTTTGCCCGACGATCCCTCAGAGCAGCTTGCTGATGATGCATTGCCAAACGATGCTCTGCCAGTAGTTTCGTATTTTTTTCTTTTTCCCACAAAGCCTTGAAATCATCACGATGCTTTGTATCCCAAATTACACAGACTTCTCTGCAATATGCTCAGATCCCGTATTCAATAAAAAAAAAAAAAAATAAGTAAACTATGAATCAGAACGACATGTTCGTTCTGGAAGCAAAAGCAAGAGAGCAGAAAAGATAGCATCTGTAAAATGCCAACCTGCTTGTCGAGTGTTTTCTTTCCTGCATGTCGCAGTTTGAATACTCACTGGATTCACTATCACTGCTGCTTTTTTCTGCAACAGCAATATTACCCGAACTATTCGTTGTAGTGGATCCATTTCGAGATAAGCTTGCTGATGGAGAAGCACCTTTTGAAACGGAATTTAATGCAGACTGGCCTCTTTGTAATAGCTCAAGATAATTTGTTCTCTTGGGTAACCGCTTCCTGAAAGTAAAAAATCAATTCCTACTGAAATTCCTGAAACCATTTCCAGATCTTCTCAATATCTAACTAAAATATACCTTTCATTATGATGAGAAAGTGTTACGTCCGCTTTAAGGATGCCCGCTTCTTCCAGAAATTTTCTGTAGCGTTCTTTGCCTACCTTGTCGATTACCTGAAACTGTACCTGAATAACAGCTTAACATCACTGTTATCGACAATAATCCATACAAGGCAATAATTTTTTACTCTTCCAGTAAACTTTGTATGGAATAAAATTACAAATGTACTTACACTGGCTTGCCTACCAAAACGTCCCTTTCTGCTAGTATCGAGATTCTCCGATAAAAAAATCTTGTATGGCGAATAACGACTTGATAACAACGTATTCCTGCAATTATACATAAATAAATTTGAATACAGATCTATTAAAAAAAAATTCAATTTTTCGAAGTCATTATTACTTAAATTAGACAGTTTTTTCAGTCCAATTTTCGAAATTCCGACCCCCAAATATTAAATTAAGATTAAAAAATACTTGGCTGAAGATAATGTCCGCCGACGTTCCCATTTGTCAGATAAGACATGTGAGCCTAAAATACCTAATGAAAGTGAAATCTTGATAGCGTGATCAGGATCAAATGATATTTTTGCTTTAACTCTTAAAATCTTGCATTTTTTCCGAGAATGAAATGTATGAATTGTAAGTAAAGCTAGTAAGAAGGAAAAATTATTTGATTTAAAAAAAGTTGCATAAAACCAGTGCAAAAAGGTAAATATGTCATCAGCATTAGATCCTAATCAATCCAACTTTAGAAAAATGAGTGCGCGTAGGCAGAGAGGAATAAAAATTAGAGGACCTGCTTGTGAATGTGATGGCGAAATTTGTTGACTTATACTATGCTCTGGTTGTGGTGACGGCGAATCGTACCGGAGCGAGTCATCTTTCACATTATTTTCCCGAAAAATGTCTTTACTAGAGGCTGAAAAACAAAAACTCCGTATATTTCATCCGGTTTCCTTAATTTTTTCCAGGAATTTTACTAACAATCAAAAGTTTTGTTTCTTGAAATCAGCATTACTTTCAGCTGTAGTCTCGTACCAATTAATCACAACTGATTGCCTAATATCAATCACCAGATTTTTATTTCATTCAACTTATTCACCTTATTTCATCATTCACCTTATTTCATTCAACTTTTTTTATTATAATTTAATTTGCAGGATGTAAACGAAATGCGAGGTGTACTTTTTGTGAACACACTTTTGTGAACAAATTAATTTTTACCCCATGTCGGCACTGTAGTCAATGCATTTACTGATTTTCTTCTTTCCTCAAGTGAGACTTTGCCATCCAAATTTTTCACTGCCCATTTCTTTTCGTTTTCCTTATCTTCCATTTGCTCAATAATGCTTCCACCAGAACATAAATTTGAAAGTCAGTAGCAAGTCGAGAAATAAAGCAGGAAATAAAGCAATTAAGGATAATGTGAATAAAAAATAAGTGTGAAACAGGAACCTTTCTTTGAAATCAACGAATACAACACTGAATCTTCTTGCTCGATAATTACCGGATCGTCATTCTCACCAGCTAAATACAGTATATGAATATTTTTCCAAACAACACTGAATAATAATGATGGATGGTAACAAATTATTCGATGATTATAGCGCATCATTTGCACAGAAAAGCTCCAATAAGATGGTGTTAAAAAAAAAAAAATCCAAACAATCATTTACAATATTATTCCGACTAATCTACCCATTGATGCTCGTTGCTCCTCTTATTTTAGTCATAATACATCGTCTTTATCAAAATACGTCATAATATCCTATGAAGTTGAAGTAAAAGTGTTACAGAAGTAAAGGTTATAGAAAATCAAGGACTTTTTCACTTTCTTGAAACTGCTGGAAAATATTTCCTGATGCACTCTAAAATACTTGACTTAAAAAGGCTAATTTGATCTTACAAAAGAAAAAAAACCACTCAACCTATTTGACCAACATTTCCCCTAGATTTTCTATAATTTCAAATAATTCAAAACAACATACTCATTGATTCACTAGTTCCTTTCCCGCTGATTTGTTGCGCGTCGCCATTTGTTGGTCGTTTACTCAAACGTCCAGAAAAAGTAGAATCGGAATTTGAACTGCATGTTTCCTCAGTTGTTAGTGACTTAACTGAGGGTCGAAAAAGATTTGTCACTGGTGCAAGAAATCTTGTGATAAAACCTAAAAATTCGAAGCTTCGGAGCTTAGTTCCGATTTTTTTTCAACTAAACAATTCAGAATAACTACACCCAGTAATATAGTTTTTTTTTCCTTTTTTACTGAAATTCCGAAGGAATTGAACGATTATGCTACATACAAAACAAACCGAAAATGCCGATACTGCCGTTATCACCATCATTAGATGCCGGTGTAATATTCGAAATCATTTGTTGTCTGATGGGCTCCAACCTCCTCCGTTTATTTCCATACACCGAGTAACGATAAGGTTGATTCCCCATGCAACGCAACAATTTCAGACGTTATATATCCTTTTAATTTTAAACATCGATGCAGACTGCTTAAAACCATTTGATTTTATAATCGGAATTTTAGGCGCAAAACTACTATCACTCAAACAATGAAATGTGAGTAGATAATGACTAACTCCACACCAGATTTTCTAAAGATTTTTAATCCAAATTTTATGTACTACAATCACCGCACCAACATACTTTCTTCAGCTCATCGGTCTAGGACAACAGATATGTAACCTCTCTTCATCTCAACTGAACTCAAGTAGCCAACCAAGTCTTCCAAAAATAAGAATGATTTCCTATAGTCGATAACTTCGCGGTTTCTTTTTTTCATAAGTTACAAATAAACTTAACTGAGCAAACACACAATATTTTCCTTCAAGAAATTTGTTCGTATTTTCGGATTCTGTGAAAACTAATCCAATAAACTTACAACATGGTATTTCAGTTACAGTAGGCACCAATACTGTAAACACATCAAAACAAGTCTCATCTTTTATTTGGAAGTTTTATTGCAATGCAAAATAAAAACAGTACAGGAAACATCAAACTTGAGGAAATTATTTCTTCGACCACATGCAATATAAAAATGCCTAACGTATTCTTATGAAATGTTTCGTACTGAAACTGAATAAACATCCATTGTAATACATTTTTTAGCAGTGGCATAGTTAGAACAAAAATTAAGAGTCAGCAGTATTATCTACGTAACCATTACGATCTTCCCGTTGATTAGTTTATGGAATCTATTACGAAGAAATTCAATTTCCACCTTAGTCTTAGCATTTTTCCTGAGATTACTATGCTACACATTTACTGATACCTTGTTCAAGCAATAAAACACTACGACATTTCAATTAATTCCAGGCATTTGCTCAATTACGAAATATCTGTTTTCGTTGGAAATTCCATTACGGGAGAAAATGAAAGTAATATTCCGTATTGACTGCTATTAGTGTTGTTTATAAATAGGATGCGCATGAAACTAATGAACAAACAAACAACGAATTAGTAATATTTCCTGAAATATTTTGGAATTAATGACAGATCAATGTAACATTACTTCATTACGTTTTAGGTACAGTATTTAGGAACAAATCTGCATTATTTCAACAATTCCTTAAAACGCTTCGGATAAATTTATCAAACAAATTATATTATGAAGAAAGTAAAATGAAATGAAATTAAAGAATTGGGAAAACATGTTTTGAATTCAATCAGTTGGAAAAGTCAGACCGAAAATTAATTTCAGCATTTAATCAGAACTCAAGTCGAACCAATATATTTGCAAATAAACAGTTCCAAACTGGAAACTCCAATCACTGTTGTGATGGAGCATAGATGCGTAACGAACGGTCCATACCAACTGATAGAACACTGTGCGCATCACGTCCAAATCGTACCGATGTAACTGCATCCTTATGTTCCGTTAATGTAGAAAGTACTGTCCAAGGCTTAACATGTATCACTTGCACATCAGCTCCTGCCACTGCCAAATAAGTACCTGACTGATCGAAACAAATTCCCGAAAGCTGCAAAAATTAAACAACGTCGACTTTGTACTCTCTTATTTTTTGAACATTCGTTATTGCTAGTCAAGATGAAATGCAAAGTTGGGTACCAGTATTACTGTAGCATTATAATGATGCAAAAGTTCTTAATGCGTCGCACCATAAGATATTCCATCGATAAATATTTAGACCTAATCTTAAGTACTAGACAAAGATGTTCCTTTTAAATGATATAAGAAGCTAATATAAATGGGCATTATTTATAATTTTAAAGTAACTAAAAACAAGGAATTTTTCACTGTTTCCAAATTCCAATTCGAATACTCTTCATCTGGATTCTAAACGTTTCTTAGTTTAAATCTAATGCGAAGAGCAGGAAAATTACAGTAATATTCGAACTTACCGTATGCTTCCCTTCATTAATTGTCATTGTTTTGAAGCTCTTTAATTTTCTTAAATCCCATAACTTCACTTCACCATCCTCGGCTCCTGTCGCCAAATAGTAACCATTTTCAGAAAATGCAATTGCTTTCACCATACCTTGAAGAATTACATCCTCATTCATTTACTTTACTTAAATCCAATTTCATCAATAACTGCTCCCAACTTTATCACCAGTGCCATCGATTACTTTTGTTTACATTTTTTCAAACCAACAGATCTAAGTTCTTGTTTTCCATTGTTTTCCCGATGGGTGTGAAATTTGCCGTGATTTAAAATACACACACAGCATAATAAAATATGCGATAAACTTGAGCGTACTATTTTGGACCATATAGCAGAAGCCTGATAGATCGGAAATCCATTTCTTTGGAATTCTCCAAAAGGTTAATATAATTTCATCGTCTTAACCTAGCATTTCAGTGGTATCACCACAACATAACGAATATTGCAGCAAGAAGAAACCTTGATGGCCTGGGAAGTTCGCAACATTTGTTTGCTCCTTCAAATCCCAAATCTTTACTATGGAGTCTGCTGTTCCAGTACCAAAAATAAGACCATCTGGATGGAACTGTCCGCAGCAAATTGGCACCTTGTTCTTATCATCGGAATGCACCTAAAGCAGGCAAGTATTGGGTGATACTAAAGTAAATTAGATGTTATTATTTTCATTACAGATGCACATTTACCATCATCCACTATACTATCACAGAGATTTCAATTGATAACATTAAATAACCTTTGAAGATACCGGAAAACAGAAAATGTTTTAAAATATGAGAATCAAAGCACTGATTTAACACTTAAAAATCCACAGTACCTGAAACTCGAAAAACTCTAGGAATCATTTATCAAAAAATTGAAGTCAAAAAAGCAAAGGAAAACCCATACTCTGCAGAGAGTCTTTCCAGAATGAATGTCAGAGAGAGCCCAAGAAGAATCATTCGAAACAGATAGGACATAGTCACCAGTAGCATGCAACGATATATCTGTGACGGCACTTTCATGAGTTTCAATTACATGACAACAAGCTTCCTCTTTGATGGACCAAACTCGAACCTAAACTGCATTACAAAATAATTAGAATTTAATAGCAGAAACCTTTAATCTTCACAATCCAAAGCAATAATTCTATGAATTTATGAAATATTTTTGCCATCATCATGTACGTTCAGCATTTTCCAGGAAAAAAATCCAACAAATGCATAAAGTTTTTGAGATATACCTTTTTTTTTTTCGTGAATTTTTCAACAATTCAAACAGTACCTGTCCGTCAGAAGATGCCGAAAGACATGTTTCCTTCGTTGGGTGCAGAATAACGGCCGATATCTTTTTCTGATGACCTCTGAATGTTGCTGTAACTGTTTCTGTTTCACTATTAAACAAAACAACACCTTTGTCAATTCCACCAGTCAGTACCATATTATCCTGCAAACGATTCGGTTATCTTATCTACCTTTTCCAAGAAATTTGTCGCTATGGAATTCCGTGGATGATTTATCCGAATAGACCCAAATAACACTTAAAATCACCTGAACGTCAAGAGCCGTCAACCCAGGCACACTTGTACTATGAATTCCGGTATGGCATGCTATCTGCGTAAATGTCTTTACTAACTCCGGTTTTGACAATGCTTCCGGCAAATTCTTCCCACGTTGTTTTCGTGCAGCTGTTAATGTAGCTGCTTTGTCTTGTAACTTTTTCAGCACCACTTCGTTGATTCCTTGCACACCTGACAAATATAGAAGAATCTCAAAAGGATCTCGCAATGAACAATACATTGCTGCAGTTAAAAGAAAGCAAACCAGATGATGTGTTCGTTGTAATTCTATTCTATTCAAATTTAATATATGTAAGTGATACCTTCATCTACTGTTTCCATTTCATCTTGTATACTGCCAACATCAACCGCTGCTTGTGGTTTCAGTGTTGAAAGTGCCTCACGTGCAGCATTCAATTCTTTTGACAAACGCGCAATCACACGACAAGCGGCATCATGCTACAAGGGAAAAAAATAATATAACCTTGGATTTTACAATTTGATGTCAATAAAATCTGGAAAATCCAAGAAATCTTTAAAACTTTGATATTTTCTAAATACGAGCTTCTCGATAGACCTCATAATACAAACTTAAGTTTTACAATTTGATATCAATTTAACTTGAAGTTGGATCCCATAGTTTTTATACAATGGTCCTTCTATTTCACAGTCTAATATTATTCAGAAAAAAGTCTTTACGGATTAAAATCTAATTACTAAACAGAAAAACTAGAAAAGGAGAAATACCACGTTGCATTCATTGCAAAGTAAATTGATGCATTAACCTGATATAATGTATGTGATAATTCTTGACGTGCATTTTGTAATTGTTCACGTAACATGAAACTATTGAGCATGCATGCGTCCCATTCATCTTGTAGTACTTTCAACATTGATGGTATTGATGTTGCCGCAATAGTACGTGGCATCGAATTCGCCACATCGGTCTTGATTTCAACTAACTGCGAAGCAGAAACGAGTCAAAAAAAGATAGCCAGAAGATATAGCATAAGCAAAGGACAAAACCAGTTGGTATCTTCATTAAATTTCCGAATTTGTAAAATATGCGTGGAACATACCTGATCTATTGTAAGCGCTTCGTTCTTAAATGGGTCAGTGCCATTTTCATTAACATATTTGACAATAAGTCGTTTTTCGAAAATCCGCCCAGAAACGGGCGATACAACGGGTACTTCCGCTGGTTCACCACTGATCGAACACGTGTACAATGTAGACATCTAAAAAATGAAGGGACTGATAACTCTGCAATCAAAAATCTCTTCAACATTGAGCAGTGACCTTATGAGCTTGCATAGGACGCATTTAAACTGCTCAATCTTTAAAAATACAGTAAGTTGGTAGGTGATCTATTCCAGTAGTAAAACTATCCTTTGAAAAACTGATAAGTAAATAATGTAGGAGCTTCGAAGTTATAATAGGATTACCAGTGGTTAAACTTGATATTGTTACGATGGAGCATAACAAAGATTGAAAACTGCATAAAATATTACTATCAAGACCTCCCGGGACCAAAAAAAGAACACACTAAATAGATTTCCTATATGGGCATAGAGTCAATTTGATACTTTTGGATTACATCGTAATGGACAAAGTGCAGTCACTGCGAAATATCGAATCCCAGCCGATGAAGAGATTTTTCTAAGAATGGTTGATGCGAGTTGGATGGTATGTCGATTGTGCGTTGTGTTCCAACGTGTTGCCAGGGTTTTTTCTTGTACTTCAAAGACTTCTCGTCATTTTTTTCTAAATTACATCCAGAAGCTTCCTAATGCCCTATCCGGAGGTTGACATTTTGTATGCTTTAATGTCGGCAATTTTCCGGATGCGGATGACCTAACACTCGCATCCGGAAAATTGTAATTGTCATTTCGTCTACATACAATATGATCAGTGGTATGAAGAAGTAAAGCCAGTCTACAGATGACCATTATTGCAGCAAACATGTAGGATACGGATTTCTTCAGATACGAGTAATGAAACGGAAGGTAATCATCATTCCGTTCACGTATATATGATCGTAGCATGAAGTATTATCTACCGTTTATTGTACTCAAGACTTTTGGATCAATTACTTGTGTCTGTTGATTTTTTGCCTGTTTTATTCGAACTATGTTGATTTTTGCCTTTATTTCCGTGCTGATGATAGCTCCCTTACCCGATTACTATACTATTTTCGGATAACCGTAACGAATACCGCATCCATAATGAAATCTCAGGTACGAAGACGTGAATCATACTTGTAGCTTGGTCACTATGAATGTTTATTGTCGGTGTACATAAATCTTATGATTCGTCCACATCGAGGTAATCGATGAAAATTAAAATGGGAATATTTTTCTGTAGCTCCGAACTTCCTTCCTTGAAACTTTTTTGAACTTTCTTTAATTCTCTTCGCTTTTTTTTCAAACTTCATCTCCTGTTTGCTACAAAAGCAAACAGTTAACCAATTCTCGAATCACGAAATCATCAAGATAATATATTTTGATTCGCAAAACATATGACACATACAATCAATTGGAACGCATGAAAGAAAAACAAACAGTAAGGAATTATTATAAATCGTAGTTGGAAATGCCAACAAATCATCATAATGGAATTATGGTATTATGATAATGAGAAAATATCATGATATATCATAATGAGACCATTGTAAACCTTTGTAGTAATGGCAACATGATGACTTATTACCGTATACTTCTTAATGTTCCCTGAAATTTATCCAGGATTTTCTTTTTCTAACAGTTACTGCAAATCCTGTTGCTATAAACAATTGATTAAATATTACTTTTGACAACATTACGATATGCCAAGCAGATTATTTATTCATCGACATTTTTGGCATATCAACCGATACATCGTATGTGACAAAATGCATTATGGTTAATTTTCGATAAGTATTATGGTAAATTATGTACACTGTACGTGAGAGCTACAAAGTTATGATGTCGAGCAATTAGAAATGACAAATTGTTGACAACAGCAAGATTCAACTAAAATTCGGATCTGATTTGACTGGATAGAGGTCAAGTTGAGATGGTGGAAATGAAGAATTTATTTAGTTAGTATTTTCACCACAGAGTCATAAAAATGCGTCATGAAATAATAAAATATGCAAACTTTTCATTTTCTAGCATATTAACAAAACGAAATTTAGCTATTTGATCTAAATTTCTATTTGTTGTGGTATTAAAACGTCAAGTGAATTAAACGGATTTAGAAAATTTTATGACTGAAATTCCATAGTTATCCCTGGGATATTTTTTTTTTTTTGTGCATTTCATCTATCAGTGGTAATCTTATCGAAGTATTACTTGATGGATACATTTTTTTGGAGCAGGTATAACTTCGGCAGGATGAATAATACTGTACTGATTCAATAATACTTTATTTATATACTTATATGCCATCTTCGGAAATGAATTCATCGATTTGATTGGTTGTTAAAAGATATTCCCAATCAATATCTCTCGTTCTGAAAAATATATTGTTACATATTGTCGAAGAAAAAGAAAGATATTCTTTCTTACTACAGCGATTATTTAATGGCAATTGCTTAATAATTCCATGCGAAATTTATAGCTGCTTATGAATTTCCAGAATAAACTCCATAATTTTCTAAAGAACTTGTGATATTATCCATTAAAAAGTTATGCTTTCATAGATTGCATTGTCAATAAGTCGGACTACTTAAGTTGTATATGGTAGTTTAATTATATCCAGAATAGACTTGAACTGGAATGAGTTCATTCAGGAACATACATAAGACGACTGCAACAACATTATTAAAGTAATGGTAATGAAAAATTTACATATTCAATTTGTCGACATTACTTGCTGTACAATAAGATTCGGTCTTATAATGACATGACTTATGGCATACAATGTGACAGTCTGTAATGAAAGGTAAAGCTGTTTAGCATTAAGTCGGACAAAGAAGCTATTCAGTCAAGCTTTTTTAAAGTAAAATTAAAACAAAAGTAATGCTAAAAACTGGAGTTGAATCAAGTTGAACTAAAAGCTAAATTGAATTGGATTGAATTGAGCTGGATCGGATTAAATTAAGTTGAATTGGGCTCAATTTAAATTAAATATAATCTATGAAATGTTCCTGATTTTATTCATTTTTCTTATAGTATAAAGATGCATAAATTGGATAAGAAAAATATTAAAATTAAAGGCTTCATTCCGTAAAAGAATGGTATTTTTTTGTCAGAAATAGAACTGACGACTTTTACAGCAATAAAGCTGAAAAATTTCTGCAAGTAATTGCTTTAAATTAATGACAATTTGCAATACTTTCAAACGAATCCTGATTATAAAATATATTAGAAATTGTTTAATTGGACAATCAAATGCTCATAGATATGATTTGCTTTGTAATATAGAGTAATGAGAAATCGATTATTAGGGAAATAATATAATAATCAAAATATTTTCTCATCAAATATTTTAATTTAATTGAAATCGATTTACTTCGCCTTGCTTTTTTCCTTCGTCAGCCATAAATCCTTAATAATGTAAAATTATCTTTACCTCGACATTGATAAGCTTGTTTGGTGAAACTGCTTCGTCCAATACGCTGATGGCATACATTGCATACGGTACCACTGCAACATACTGTTGAAGCATACAAATTATCGATTTCTAATTTTCTAAGAAGAGAGTAAGAAGAAAGAACAAAAAGGGAAGTGAAATTGGAAACGAGTATTATCATTGTTATCATTTATCAGATGCGAACCTTCGACTTTTTACGGCGACAAATGTATGATCGTTGTAAACATGTAGCTTTTTCCCTTGCCGCAAAAGTTCTGTCACTCCTGGCTCGTCTAGTACTGCATGCGGTATAAGATAATATCTAAAGTTGAAGTAATTTGCAATTGACCTTTTTCTAACAGAAAACTGATCTTTAATATTACCTGTAATTAACCTTATTTTGGCATCATCTATTGTCAATTCGTTGTTGCATTTTTGATTTTTTTTTTTTTTTTTGCAGCAAAAATAAATATGATGCCTTATCTCTCAATTGAAATGATATATGAACAGCCAAGAAACTCACCGTTTCTGGCCATTTTCATGTGTCTCAAGAAGTAATGTACTATGTTCATATAGGCTCTTGGTAGAACGTTCCGATTTCTCCCCATATGATCCTAAATCATGTCGACTGCCTGATTTTTCTGCAATTTAATCTGAATTATTTCAAATTTTTCAAGTTATCATAACTTTGTCGAGGAGTTCATCCAAACTGTACCAAAATCGAAATCATACTTTGATGAAGAAAATAATTTCATGACAATTTTTCATAAAATTATTGCTGAAACCGATTTATTATAAATGCTTACCTGAAAATCGTGTCCTTGATATATCTCGAGAAGGTGGCAATGATACGGTTTCTTCCATTTCACCAATTCCAAGCTCGCAACTTTTAGCACGTCGTTTGGAACGTCGACGTCCGCTTAAACGCTCACGTAATTCGCTAAAGAATGAACGATCACGTTTCTTGGCTGTCTTCTCTTCATCACGAATTTTTGTTTGATCTGAATAAATAAATACTATAAATTCTTCAATAATAATAAATGTTAGTGTAATGATATCGACCCATTTCAAATAACAATTATTTGATTAAAATTCTTAATCACTTTTAACAGAAAAAACAGTTATTTTACCAAATCAGCTTTAACAGATTATCAATAAAACTTATTAACAGCAATCATTATCATCGCATTAATGAAAAGAAAAAGAAATAACTTATTCAAAATTAATCTCTCATACAAATAAGCAAACAGCTTTATAAATATAATTAATAGTAATAATAATAATTGATAACAATAATAATTAATAATAATAATAATAATAATAATAATAATAATAATAATAATAATAATAATAATAATAATAATAATAATAATAATAATAATAATAATAATAATAATAATAATAATAATAATAATAATAATAATAATAATAAT